CTCTCTCTCTCTCTCTCTCCCCACACACACCCGATTCAGCGACAAACGCCTCCCCCAAGTCTCTCTCTCTCTCTCTCTCTCTCTCTCTCTCTCTCTCTCTCTCTCTCTCTCTCTCTCTCCACAGATAATCACTCGCTTACACCGAACAGCGAGCACAAACAAACACACCAGTGAACAGTCGTACAATACCACTCGTTCCTGATCCGGCGCCACTTCGTCAGCCCACTAACCCGCCTTCGTCGTGCACGCGCGCGCGAGCATCCCCTACACCAAAGTGACGATGGCTACGGTGGAATGAACCTGCCTATCCACCACCTCGAGTCTCCCCCTCTCGTCCTCCCGCCCCACCACCGACCTCGCTCCGAGTCCTAACAAATCTCTAATGTCCCGTCGCTCGCCCGTACATGAGCCGAACCGCATCCCGCACCGTACCCCGAACCGGACCAAGAGATAGAGGTAAACCGCACCAGGGTGGAGGGATGAACGAACGACAAGCGCTCTTTGGCAAAGGGATGAGACTCGCTGGGTCCCCGCCTGCCGGTAACGACGGGCCGGCGACTACCTGCGGCGGGAAGTTTGCCCCTCCCGCCTAGCGCCACCCGCTCTCCCGCTAACGGCCGCCTGAACGGGTTCTTCGCCCCCGTAGCTCCGCCAGGGTACGCTAACCGCGCCCAGCTAACGGGCGCCGTTGCGCAACAGAAGGCGTAGCTTCCTTTTTTCGATTGGCCTCTGGTTAGGTTGTCACCACCTCAGCGGAAACTGCGGTCTCATCATTTCGCCAGTGAGCGGGAAATCCTAACTGCAGCAGGAAGGCAGATTCGTCCTCCCTCTCCGCCAATCGGTTGCGGGGATTCCAGAGCAGCAGTACCGTAGGATGCGCCAGCAGCAACCGTAAGATTCGAGCTGTGGCAAGGTACCCCGTTCGAAGGACCAGCAGGGAAACTCATTCCACTAAGCTGGTGAGGCCCCGTTAACCCCCCTCCAGGGTAGTAAAATGGTAAAGGCCTGGCAGGGCCAAAATTCGCCCTCTCAGGGGCCCGGTAACTCACAGGGTCTCTAGCAGTCTAAACCGGCCCCTCCAGGCTCGGCAGTACATCTTGGCAGGTCGCGACCGCTTCGGGTGCTTTTTCGACGTTCGGATTTTTTCATTGCCCAGCACCGCCGCTCGAAGCTCCAGCTCTGCATAAAGAAGCAACTGACGTGTGAGATCTTCCGCTTCAGCCTTCGCGTTTTTTGACAGCGCGAAAATCCGGGTGTAAGTAACAAGTTTTGTCATCGAGGTAATCTTCTTTCTACCATAGCTTTACTAGCCGCTGTGAGTAAATTATCCACCCCCTTCCCTGACCTTGAACAAGTAGAACTTACAGCACCTTTACTTACAACAGTCTCGTCCTTCGTTAACCATCGTTTGGCCCTAACTCATTCAAAGTGCAGGTAGTGCACCACGCTACCGACCACCAGAGACAACCTTGCTCATTCTTTGTGCAGAGAACCACGGACAGGCAGTAGGGACGGTAGTCTAGCACCATTACTACTAGCGTGCCTTTCCTCTTTTCACTGCAACCACCTTCCACCATCGACCCGTGAGGCATTAGTTACCTCTTTACATCAACATCCGATCCTCAGCGAAGTTGTCGACCCTCCGTAACTCCTTATTTTGTCAACTCCCCTTCCCCAGCTTCGTAGCTCCGTTCAATAGAACCGTCAACTACCGATAGTAGACTAGAGGAGCTATGGCCCTCATGGAAGCTGCAACTAGCGGGTTAGGATCAGCCAACTGGCTCCTGGAATGGAGGAGGAGAACGGGGGAAGTGGGATGGGAGAATGAGTGCTTTGAAGATCTCTTAGCAACATGGTTGGCGGAGGGAGGACCCTGCTTAGAATGTGCTAGTGACTGTCCCGTCCACCCCCTCCTGGATAGAACCGCTGGACCAGGTTTCAAACCATTCCCGTGCCAACTAAAGGCATGGAACACTGTCAAGAATCTCAGTGATTCCAATCCACCGAAGCCATCGATTATCATCGCAGCTTTTGTGTCGATTCCCAGGAGATCGCAGGTATGTCCCACTTCCCTTACTCTTTCCATTTCCCACCCGATATTTCCACTCCCACCTCTGCTTTCTTTTTTCGCTTTTCACCTTTTCTCCCCTTTTTCCCTGTCCACCTTTCCTTTCACTCGCTAGCCCTCTTCTGCCTCCTTTCCCTTATTAAACGATATCTACCCTTTGAAGTTTTAGCCATCAAATCTTTTGAACTCTCCAGATTTACCGTTAAAACCTGTAGTCTCGTTCAATACATAGCATGGGGGGCCAGTTGTAAAAATAAAAAAATAAAATAAAAAAAAGAGAAGGAGGAAGGGAGTAAGGAGGAAAGGAGGAAGGAGGGGAAGGAAAGGAAGTAAGAAGAACAGTAATAACTAGCAGCAGTTTGAGGACGCACGGAAGCTAAAAGATTCAGTATATTACCCGGGAGTTCATTTTTTTCTGCTTTCAAAACGCTGTGTGCTATAACCATCAATATGTTTCGCCCGGAGTTCATCTTTGTTGCTTTCGGGACCTGGGTATTAAGGATGTCAGTATGTTCCTCGGAGTTCATTTTTTATTGTCGACAGGCTCCGTGTATTTTAGCCATCTTTATAATGCTTGAAAATTTGCTTCCAGGTTGTATTAAATTATCAACCACTAAGCTCGTCGGAACTAAACTTTGCCGCTTTTCTTCACCCAGATTTTAGCATAGTCTCTTGGAAACAGCGTAGAAATTTCAGTTACTTCGGAGCAATCCGGATTTTGTTCACCATTCAGCTGCTAGTGTTTTCCAAGGAGGTAGCGTCCAGAAAAATTTCTCGAAATCTTCAGTTATAGGCGGAATCGGTCATCTCGTCCACTTTATTGCGTTGGGGGCCTATTAAAAAAAAAAAAAAAAAAAAGGAAAAAAGAAAGAGGAAGAAGTACGAGATATTAACTAGGTTTTGTACGCCGATTCTCAGAAGATCGCAGGAATGCCCCATTCCCCTTATTCCCTCACCCTTCCCTGATATTTCAACCCCCACCTCTCCGTCCCTCTTCCCCTTTCACCCTCCCTATCACTTTCTTCCCTATTTTTCCTATCCTCCTCTCTCTCACTATCTAAGCCCCCTATCTCTTTATTAATCCTCTACCTACACTTCGAAGCCTAGCAATCAGATTTTCCGAACCCCCTAAGATTTACTAATAGTAACTGAAATCTCATTCAAATTCACGACGTATGAGCTAGTCGTTCACTGTTAAAAAAAAAAAAAAAAAAAAGGGGGGGGAAAGAAGAAGAAAAGAGAGGAAAGGGAGGAAGTAAGAAGAGCAATAATAACTAGAAGTTGCCTCAGGAAGCACAAGAACAGAGGATTTAGTATGTTACTCGGAGTTCATTTTTACTGTTTCGAAGCTCTGTGTATTACAGTCGTCAGTATGTTTGCCCGGTGTTCATCTTTGCTGCTTCAAGTTTTGTGCATCAAAGCCATCAGTACGACGCTCGGAGTCAGACAATTAATACTATAGTTAGCTGCATGATGCTTAGAGATCATTTGCGGCTTACAGGATGTTAGGAACCTTCAGCCAGTAACCTCGTCAGAACTAGACCTTCACCACCTTTCTTCACCTAAATTTCACCGCTCAGCTTCTAGATCTTTTCTTGCTTCAGGATCGGTGTATTAAAGTCATCAGTACGACGCTCAGGGTTTCATCGCTTGCTGATTTCGAGCTCTGTGTCTTGTAGCCATCCGTATGATATTTTGTAGATCTTTTCAACCAGTAACCTCGTCAGAACTAGGCTTTCACCACCGTCCCTTCATATAAGTTTTCCTTACGTTTCTCGAAACCAGTGACTTAAGGAACTTCAGAACTTTTAGTTACTTTGAAGATTCTGGATCTTGTGCACTGTCCAACCTATAGCGCTTTCCAAGGAGGTAGCGTCAGGATGAATTTTTCGAACTCTTCAGTTTTTGTTTGAATCGGTCATCCTGGATTTTCGTGTTGTAACCTCGTTCGAATACTTGACGAATGAAGCTAGTCATTTATTGTTAAAAAAAAACAAAAAAAAAAAAGAGGAGAGGAAGGAAAGGAAGTAGGAGGAACAACAATAACTAGAAGTTGCCTGATGAGGCAGAGAGCAAAGGATTTAGTACGTTATTTGGAATTCATTTTTATTATTTTCAAAGCTCTGTGTATTGCAACCATCAGTATGTTTGCCCGGAGCTCATTTTCTGTTGTTTCAAGTTCTGCGTATTAAAGCCATCAGTATAATACTAGGAGTTTCATATTTCCCTGACGCTTCAGGCTCTGTGTATTATAGCTATTTGTACGACGCTTAGAGATCATTTTGCTGCTTCCAACCTCGTCAGAACTAGACCTTCACCACCCTTCTTCACCCAGGCTTCATCAGCTTTTAGATTTTTTCCCGCTTCAAGATTTGAGTAGTAAGCAATCAGTATGATGTTCAGAGCTTCATCTTTTGCGGTTGCCGGTCCCTGTGTCTTGTAATCATCTTTATGATGCTTGGAGATCACTTTTCACTGTTTTCAGGCTGATTAGGAATTTTCAACAATTAACTCGTCAGATCTAAACTTTCACCACATTTTCTTCACCGATCATTGCTTTACGTTTCTCGGAACCAGCGTCAAGAGGAACTTCATAACTTTAGTTACTTCGAAGATTATGGTTTCGGTTCACTGCTCAGCCTATAGCGCTTTCTAAGCAGGTAACGTCAGGATGAATCTCTCGAACTCTCCAGTTTCGACGGAATCAGTCATCTCGCTCACTTTATAGCATTTAAGACTATTCAAAAAAAAAAGAAAAAAAAAGGAAGGGAAAGCACGAGAACTAACTAGGCTCTGTACGTCGATTCCCCGGAGATCGCAGGAATGCCCCACTCCCCTTTTTCCCTCCCCCTTCCCCGATATCTCAACCACACCTCTCCGTCCTTCTTCCTCTTTCACCCTCCCGGTCACTTTCTTCCCTATTCTCCTCTCCACCTTTCTCTTACTCTCTAGCCTTCTTCTACCTCCTCGCCCTCTATTAACCCTCTATCCACCCTTCGAAGCCTAATGATAAGATCTTTCTAACTCTCCAGATTTACCGATAGAACCTGTAACCTTGTTCGATCACATGACGTACGAAGCTAGTCGTTTCCCCCCCCCAAAAAAAAAGAAAAAGAAAAAAAAGGAGGGGAAAGAAAAGAAGTAAGAGGAACAATAAGAACTATAAGTTGTCTGAGGAAGCAAGGAGGCTAAAGGATTGAGTATTACTCAGAGTTCATCTTTCTCTGCTTTCAAAGCTTTGTGTATCATAGCCATCAGTTTGTTCTGAATTTATCTTTTTGCTGCTTCAAGATTTGGGTACTAGAGTCTTTGGTGTAATGCTCGGAGTTTCGCTTTGCCTGTTTTCAGGCTTTTTGTATCGAAACCATCTGTATGACGCTTGAAAATCATTTTTTGCTGACCTCGTCAAACCTAGACTTTCACCACCTTTGTCAACCAATTTTTATCTTACGTTTCTCGGAACTACGTCACGAGGAACTTTAGAGTCTTCAGCTACTCGAGGAATCTGGAGTCTGTCCAATGTTCAACTTCTTGTACTTCTCCAAAGAGGTAGTGTCAAGATGATTTTCTCGAACTT